TAATTGAAGTAAACATGGATATAGGCACTAATCTTTTTTATTGGGCTAGTGGAGGAGTTACTGGACAGGAAAAAATGTTTTATTTCGAGCTACTGATAGTACTGTTTTTCAGTGAAACTTTATCAAGTGATGGAAACTGAAAATACATTATACCTAGTGATGGAATATGCAAGTGGTGGAGAGGTAAAGTTTTTGATTTTTAACTATAATAAGCGTAAACGTTTTCTTCATGTATTTGATATAAACTTTCTTTGCTTTATCTAATATGAAATTTTCGTCCATGTAACGCTTTAAGTTATTGATTTTCGTAAACTTTTTTTGCCTTATTTTCTCTTATGTTGTTTTTAGGTATTCGATTACTTGGTAGCTCATGGTAGAATGAAGGAGAAGGAAGCAAGGGCTAAATTTCGACAAATTGTGTCAGCTGTACAATATTTGCATCAAAAAAATATTATACATAGGGATTTGAAGGTAATTTCTTCTCTTAGGCTGTCATCATGCTGCAGTGGAAAAATCATTTTGTTACGATAGTAAGATTTTAAAAAATTTGAATACTCGGATATATCGGATATATGAATCTACATCTGATCCATTCCATGGTTGCATCTGATTAGCTGATTTATTATCATGATGAGCACAGTTGGAATGAACTTATGAAAAAAAATGTAGTGATTTATAAACCTATTTAACTGCTCCATAAAATTAAAATATTGATAACGATATTTCCATAAATTATTTAATCCTTCATGACCACAGAAAAAATGCTTTAGGCGGAAAATTTACTGCTTGATTCTGATATGAATATCAAAATAGCTGATTTTGGATTCAGTAATCAATTTGTAATAGGTAATTGTTTTTATTTAATTTATTCTGTTTTTTGTTTACTTGTTATCTTCTTTTCTAAGTTTTTGCTATGTATATTCTAATGCTTAATATTGCTTCTAATGTTGCCAAAAAATTGCAATAATGCATATCATTCACAATATTTTAATCGCCTTATTTAATTGATTAAAATCTCTTCCTCCAATCATAATATTGTCTATTTTACCAGTGAACTAGAATGATGACCATGTTCTTTTTTGGTTGTGATCAGTACCAATTTCTACACCTCAGCGACTATTGTTATTTGTTTGTAGGTGAAAAACATTTTATGCCTTATTAACATCAGAAATACCAGACTTTTTTGCAGGTAACAAATTGGACACATTCTGTGGTAGTCCACCTTACGCAGCTCCAGAGTTATTCCAAGGGAAGAAATATGATGGACCAGAAGTGGATGTGTGGAGTTTAGGAGTTATTTTATACACTCTTGTCTCGGGTAGCCTGCCTTTTGATGGACAAAATTTGAAGGTGCCTCTTCGATATCTTCTTTATTCTGCAATTTTTATTTATGGAAAATGAATGATCAAATCTTTCTAAAAACAGAAGAAGTGTTACGTTTTTCAGTCCCAAACTTTTCAGGAATTAAGAGAAAGAGTACTGAGAGGAAAATATCGAATACCATTTTACATGTCAACTGACTGTGAAAATCTTCTGAAGAAATTCCTCGTACTAAATCCAGCACGTAGAGGAACATTGGAAGCAATCATGAAAGATAGGTCGGCGTGAGTCATTTTCTATTTATTGATGCTGGCATAAAATTTTTAATTAATTGGCTCCTGACTTTCTGTGAATTGATGATATCAAGATTTCTTCCGACATACAAATCTGATTTCAGGAAACCATTAATGAGAAAAACAAGTCGAATTAGGCTAGTAATTAAATGATGACTTTTTTCCTATTTTAGGTGGATGAATATAGGTTATGAAGATGATGAATTGAAACCGTATGTTGAACCAGCTAAGGATGTTAAAGATGAAAATCGAATAGCCATTATCCAGCAGATGGGTTACAGTCGTAATGCAATAGTGGTATCACTCGACAAAGGCAGTTTCGATGATCTTCATGCCACTTACATTTTGTTGGGGGAGAAAAAACGCGAGGTAGAGTTTCTAAATCATTGAAGGCATTAATCAGGATTTGTAATTGGAAAATATAAGATTATCCATCTTAGCACATTCATTATAAGCGTTTTTTATTTTTATGGAACATGCTGTGCACAATTAGTTATCAAACTGATTAAGATGACAACAGCTGATTTGGGAATATTGGTAACATTCCTTTCAGTTTGTCTGAATCTGGAGAATTGTAATTAAAACCGGCAGAATAGGCGATCACTTTTGGAAGGCGAAAATACTGTTAATCTTTGAAAGTTATCCAATTAAACATCATTTCGTTCTATAATTTTTTAGGTTGATGGAGAAGCTGTCCTAAACTCCCAACTGAATCCTGCATCAGCACAGAATGTTGCTCATGGGATAACGCAAGGTCAAAGTCCGCATACCCAATCTCCTGCTTCTACTGGTTTTGCTATGGTAAAGTTTCGATTTAAAAATTTTTTTGTGGCTTCTTAAAGAATAAGATTTCAAGAGTTTTCAATTTGAAAATCTTTCGAGATTGGTTTCAAAATTGATGTCGGAGTTAGAATCCTGAAGAACTGAAGTCATCAGTGTGTGAATTTAAAATATTTATTTGAATGTAGGGATTTTCAGACCCAAAAATTTGTGCCTCGTTCAACATCAGCTCAGGTACCGTCAATAAAGACACGACGCGGATCACAGGAGCAAACGATTGCACCAGCTGCTCAGCTTCCAACAGCCCTTTTACCGTCGGAAATTCATGTCACAGCATCACCTGGGACACAACGAGTAATATCTGGTGTAGCACCGGTTACAATGCGACATGTTGTTGGTCCACCAGGTGGTCGACAAGCGCTTAGTATGCAACCGGGTCATATGAGTATGTTATCTTGTATTACTGAAGTTTTATAGTCTTTGTTCTCGCGGAGATATTTCTGTTCTTGTATTTTGACTAAAATCATTATTTTTGTCTTACAATTCGTTTCAGTGCCCAATTACTTGTCGAATGTAATGCAAGCTGTCGGAAGTGGTGTACAAGCTGGTGCTGTTCCTGTTTCTGGATTTAGGAAAACTTCCGCTACGGGACGAACACCATTAACTAATTTAGGAACTAGGGGAATTTTGCCAACAGGGCCACGATTTGTGTATCCGACGATTGAGTGAGTTTTTCGCATTAACGAAGTCATCTTTTTCGATTATTTGTATTATTTGACGATCGATACCCTAGAATAGAAAGTCGTGTTATCAGTTTTAGGGCTGCAAAAAAATTGGATAAAATTATCGGAATTAAGATGCTTAAGCAAGGAACTATTGATATAATAATATATGCACTTGATGTGTGTTATTTGGCTGTAATTTGACATTTTTCAGTACAAAAGGTTTGCCCAAAAGTATCAGTGGATCTTCATCTGCTCGTGGTACTCCAAGTTTACCATTTTCTTCAAATTCTGCACAGCAGAAAATCACATCGCTACAGGTATTTTGATTGCAGAACATTTATCTTTTGTTTTTACCTTCTTCACGTTTACAAATCATGTTCTAAATATCCCAAAATTTGTAAATTCGAGAAGTCTTTGTTTCTAGAAAAGCGGTTCTATATCGGCGGCGCCAAATGAGCCGTCAATTAAAGAGGATGACAATGAAAACGGTGAACTGTTCTCTGGTAATGGTGATAGCGGCAAAGTTGAACCAGCAGTTACGGCACATACAAATACTGATAAAGGTGATATTAATCGTTATGGTGGTAGTGATGCCGATGATGGAGATGCTACCGCGATGTCACGACAGCAGTCACCCACATCAATAGTTGGTCCAACAGTGGAACAGTCGGAAAAAAAAGAGGAAAAGTATGTGAATGATTTGTTCAAAGTTTTGTTGGGGGAATTGCAGGATGTTTTTGGTGTATTTTGAGTAAAGTATTTCAAATATAAATTATTCGGATTTGATTCTAGAACACGCCAGAATCATTTTTTCTGACACCTGCCATATGCTTTTGGATAGTGTGAAAATGCTTCACTTTAAAGTTAATGCATATTTTTCTTATCTTGTCGAAATAATTATGTTTGCCAAGGATTGATTTCTTGTGTTGTGATTTTTTTTTTCCATATTGCTAAACATGGCTATGACATTCATCAGGCGTCCACTAGAACTTTATTGAAATTAAATGCGCTTTTTGGAATCGTTATCGTACAGAGCTGAAGTTATAGAGTCTTCAGAAAGAAGAATCTATATATCCTTACTCCTTCCGTTCACAATCGGTTGCAGAGTCTTTGCATAATAGTAGATTGCCGTATTTCTTGGAACAGCCGTAATAATATTTTGATAAAATATCCGCTATATTTAATCTAACCATGCATTGATATTCTCTTCTCCTTTTTGCTGTTTTTATAACAATAATATGTAACATTAATATTTTCTCTTATAAATATGATTTTTTGCTTGGCTTCTATTTTGGACTCCAACTAACGAACTTTTGGGACTAATGGACGATTTAAAGCATAGCTTGGTTGTTGTAAGATTTCGTGGATTTCGGTTTGTGAAATTGTGCTTAGAGTGCACAAGCAAATTCCAAATTCGAGTATTTTCAAAAATTTTCTAGGGAATTCAGGAAAATATCGTTAATTTGAATGACCAGCGAATTTTATGAACAGCTGAAAGGTTGCTCAGAGACGTTGTTATCAGTGTTGATTTATTAATTCATGTTGAATATAATAGCTTTGGCCTGATTTACTTTTGATTTCGTCACCAAAAATTATTATTTACTAGCCCTCATTAAAAATCTTTTTTGCTTTTAAGTGAATTTTAATGCATGATTTTAAGCCGGATTTTTCTGCATTTTAAGCCGGATTTTTCTGGTAATATTTCTCTGCAGAATTATCGCGTGCCTTCATTTAACTCCAAGACTGTAATATTTTACTGTTTCAGGCTTCATCAAAGAATGATAGCCGCACCTACACAGGCAGTTATAAAAAATTTAGCTATTAACGAAATATCACCACCTGCACTGTTGCCACATTCACAAAATAATAGCCCAAAGTTGACCAAATCTGCAACTGGAACCGCTCTGAGTCCTGCTTCGACAACAGCAGTATGTTTCTTTTTTTGAACTGAAATTCATCTAATACTAATTTCTAAAAATATGTGTTGCAACAGTTAGAGTTTGTGGAGGACGTTTTAGGTATATCCGGAATGGTTTTTATTTTGTTGCAGTGCTGTTATCATTATTGAGAATATCCAATCACAGTGCATAAAAGCTGAACTGATTATGTGCTTAGTAATATTGATAATGGAAAATCTATTTATTTTTGTTCTATTTTAACAGTAAAATTTTTGTATTTCAGCCTTCATCGGCTGCGCAAACTGTACCATCACCTACAGTATTAAATACTCACGGTACAGTAGTACAAAATGCCGCCTTTCCTAGACACACTCGTAACAGGCAGACTTTTCACGGAAAAACAGAACACAACAAGGTTTCTTTTCACCTAATAATGAATTTTATATAATATAAAACAACTTACAACCAGGAGTATAGCAATTGCTTTTATTTGGAGACCAATCCTGATCAGTTAAAAGGAAGAATTATTTCTGAGATATTCTAGTCCTTCAAATAATTTGTGCCCATTACTATCTGAATTATAGGGAAGTATGGATGATGACGTTGAATCAGAAGTAGTACATGGTGCTGACAACACATCGGGCAATGGCGGTCCTCGTGGATCATTCCTTTCCAAACTTTCCAAGCTTACTCGTCGGTTAGTGGTTTCATATCAGTTATTGCTGACCTTAATTTTGGTTAAAATATAAGCAATGCCTATGTAATCCATTTCCATCAGGGGTTCCACCATCTTACTAGCTGCTAATCCAGCTTTTATTGCTCACTTTATTAATTGGTTTTAACGTAAATAAGAGAAAGAGCTTTCACGTATTCACGTATGAAGCAAAATGTTTGCCTCGCTTGCAAGTATATACTGTTATGCTTTTACTAACCGAGGTTTTTTCTAAGTGAAACGTTGACATATTTTAGGGATTGAATTTAAACATAGGAATTTCTTGTAATCTACATTAAAATAATTTGGTTTAACATAGATGCAAAGCTTGTTTGGGGTGTAATCTAAGAATGATGACCTATTCAGTTGTGCATTCTAAAAAAGTGTTTTTGAAAGTCTGTTCGTTTAATTATTTTCTCCTCAATGCGCTTAAAATGGTTTTGAATTTTTATAAAGATATCGCTTGTGCAAAATATTCAATTGCAGTTAATTTCCATGAGAGACTTGTTGCTGAAGAATAATAGTACTATCAATTGATTTCTTTAAGCAAATCATCAATCGATAATACATTCTTCAGCACGAATGTTTGTTTAAAGTTCTATGTGGTGGAAATATTATGTTCCCGTAAAGTTTTGGAAATTGTTGCTACTAAGCTAAAGAGGCACCTTATTTATCAGCTTAAATTAACGTAAAAATGATTTTGCAACGTTTGGTTTATTCATTTAATTGTGCATAAGTATGCGAGTTATGGTGATGGTTCCTTCACTTCACCATCGTCCACTCACAAACACCAAATATTCCATTTCTCACCGATGTCACAAGGCGTCATCTGGTCAGCTACGAATAGTCATTTGGAATAGAGTCCAGAAGTGCTTTCTTCCGGAAAAGCAACGGTTTCGTTTTGTGTCGAATAATTTGGTTAGTGCTGCCTTAGCCGCCCACACCTAAACATGGTCTTTTGCATTTTTGGAGGAATCAGTTGGTGTCAAGTATTCAAAATAGATCGACTTGCCATGACATCTGTTGCTTCTATTGCTCAATAGCAGATTTCGAGATCTTACTATGCATCTTCTATATAGTGTGTAGCGTACTACATTGCCGAAAGTCTTCTATCGTGATTTTTCTTTCACTCTAGGGACACAAGAATTTGACAATTTGACAGAATTTGACAGTATAGAAAGTGTGTTTCCGCTACTATCACTGATGTTTTAGAGAAAGGATTTTCTTCATAATGACATTATACCAGAAAGTCGCTCTGATTAGAATCGTTTTGCGTATCATTGCTGGTTCCTTTAAATCTTGTTTATTCTGCAAGAGAATCATTCCATTTGGCGGAATACTTGATATTTAGATTATCTCACTGTTTTACTATGTAGATCTTCGGATTAGATCAATGTTCTATAAAACAGGTAGTTCAAATTCCAGAATTGTATTCTTATCACTTTAGGATGCTTTATTTTGCGTATTTCAAGGCAAGTTTTTTATGTTTATTTCTGGCGAGCATCTTCAAATTACTATTTATTGAAATCTTTTTTCCAAATGAAGTGTTCTTGAATTAGCTTCTTATTTAACAGAAAAAATTTTACAACATGCGCTTCTTTCGTTTCCATTTTTTGCATTTTATTTGCAGTGCAAGCACAGATTTTCACTCTACATGAGTTTTAAATGTTTTGTTAAAAAGATTATTGCCTAACCTATCAAAATGCTTTTTTAAGCGGTTGGTTATTGGGCAGTTTTGAAGATGCTTTAATTTAAATTTTTGGGAATTGATTTTCTTAAGCTCCTATTATTCTGCTACTCTTTGTTTGTAGTGGTTCATCTTCCCAGCGGTCATCATTATCATCGCATCATCACCATCATCATCGCCATCAAAATTATCCTTATCATCAGTATGCTTTGTTATCTATTCGCGGTACATCCGCATCTACTCCGGAAAACAGCTTACCTAATAATCCTACAGTACCATCACAAATTCGTTGCTTTTCTGGTCGTGGTACTTCAATAAATCAGCAAGCTTTACCTTTGCTCCTGTCACCAATAGCCATGAAGCAGGCATTTCAACGGCATTCATTTACCGGTAGTAAAATTAAGATCAATGGCATCGGCAGCAACTACAGTGGTGATAGTGAAGTTAATAATGTGCAGGCTTTAAATATCAAACTTTCATTAACGGCCAGACCGCTTTCGGTGTATGTTGGTAGCAGTTCCGGTACGATGTCGCCGAGTTCTGACCAAGTACTGCCACTAACATTAATTGCACCGCAATATGATTTATTTCATATCAAGCCTTCTCGTAGTTTACATTATTCGAATTCCTTTTCCGCTGGCAACTGCTGCTATTTGCCAATGTTTCCTACTTCTTTGGTACATAAAGTAGTACCTCAAGAACCAAATTGCTCAATAGATGGTGCTTCCTCAGTGCTTCATCCCCAGAATCTTGATTCTATACTTCTGCCAAGCAGTGTGAGTGACATCATGCGATCGTCCATTGATTCGATCCAATTGTTTAGTCCATCGATGGCATCGTCAAACAGTGGTACCGTTACTGGAGGAAACCATTATCATAGCTCGAGATCAGGTGATGCATGTAGTGTCCAGCTACCACCAACTTACTATATCACTGGTACTGTTGGTAGCGGGCCATCAGCCTATGCCTTATCTGTATATCAATCATCGCGTAGGACACCAATTGTGGGAATTGCTGAAGGATCCGCTCTCACTACGACGTCGCAACCAACACCAAGTAACACCAGTGAAGCGGTTAAACATGGTGGTAGAAGTGGAACCATTGGACCAACTACTGGTATTGCTGGATTTAAACGATTAAGCACTGGTCAGCAGCATCATGGTCAGTTTTCCATGACACCAAATGCAGCACTGGGCGGTGGCTGTGATATGTCAAATGGTGATGAAGTGAAGCCACGATCATTACGGTTTACGTGGAGTATGAAAACTACCAGCTCTTTAGCACCCGAGGAAATGATGAAGTAAGTCTTTAAAGTTAAACTTCGATTCGGTATAATGTATAAGAGAGATTATGTCTTCTTTTTCCATTGTGATTGTCTCTGTCTGGAGATATTTGTAACAATAATTATATGTTGTACCTATATGAATAATTTAATGTCATCCTAATTTCGGTACGGTATTCGATTATCTATAACAAAATTCTTATACACCAAATATACGTATGCGATCACGATGAATGAATTAGTGTTTCAACGGCTTTCAATTGTTTTAGAGAAATTCGGAAAGTTTTGGATCAAAATAATTGTGATTATGAACAGCGTGAAAGATATTTATTATTATGCGTACACGGTGATCCCAATACCGATTCGCTAGTACAGTGGGAAATGGAAGTAAGCTATGTTTTTTGGTAGAATGTAGGAGAAAGGTAGCAATGGCTATGCATATTTACATATTATAGAAATTTCACAAGTTTGTAGTTTGCTAGAGACTATTTATAGAGGTATGGATGTCTGAAATGGTGTTGATGGGCATATTTGGGATTTAAAAATGCGGGAAAGAACAACAGATGTTTTACCTAATGTTTTACTTTAAGGTTTGCAAATTGCCAAGACTGAGCCTAAATGGTGTTCGATTTAAGCGAATATCAGGGACATCGATTGGTTTCAAGAACATTGCATCGAAAATAGCGCTGGAGCTGAATTTGTAATAGAATAGCAGACTGGAAATAAGTTGTTTTGATGAAGACTTTGAAGTTTCTGCTAATTAGAATCGTTTTGAGCGAAATAATTCCTTGAAAGCAAATTTAGCTGAGAATTCTAAGTTATGCATACAGAAAGTGCTTACTGTCCTATATTCATTACTACCTTCCAGTGACTTTATCCAGTGTTTGACCGGATGA